TATCGAATTGCTTACCTCCGTTGCTGAATTTGCATGATGTGTTTCATGTGTCTCAGTTGAGGAAATACGTTCTAGATCCATCGCATGTGATCCAGATGGATGACGTACAGGTGAGAGGTAACCTGACTGTTGAAGCATTTCCTGTGTAGATTGATGGACGAGAAATGAAACAACTATGGGGTAAAGGCATATCTTTGGTGAAGGTGTTATGAGGTGGACCAGCTGGTAAAAGTTGGACTTGGGAACGCGAAGATCAGATGAGGGAGTCATATACGACTCTGTTTCGTTCAGCTAAATTTTCAAGGACGAAACATCTTTAACTGAGGGAGAGTTGTAACACCCCAAAATAATTAGAATTTTTATTTAATTTATGTATTATAAATATTTGTGATTTCGGTGAATCTTGATGAAATATTTGATGTCTGATGATATGTGTTGGGGGTATTATTGATGTTAAGAGGGTGTTGAGGATATTTAGAAGTATATGATTTATTAGAATTATTTTAATAATAATAATAGTGGATAATGTGAATATCTTATTATTATTATTATTATTTTAAATAAATAATTCGAATACTAAGGGAAATTTGGTAATGTTTGGTGGATTAAGTGATTATATAGTTGAGAAATCATATTAAGGGTCTTAGGGGTAAGTTGGACAAAAGGAAAATAGAGAAGAAAGGAATTCATTTTGGTATGATCGTATTTTGGGAAAGGAGCTCTGAGGAAAAGGAAAAGGGGAAGCTAGGGCTCGGAGAAATTCTGGAAGAACTCAAGAAGAGGATCAGAATTGAATTGTCTAAGGTATGAGGAGTATCATTTGTCATTGTAATTGATATAAGGGTAGATGTATGTAGGTAGTTGGGGATTTTGGGAAACATGATGAGATTATGATAAAATTGGGGTTATGAGATGATATGTATGAGAACTATTATGATGTGTTGTTGTTATTGTGTTGATTGTATTGTAAATTATGAGTAATTTTGGACTGATTTGTACTTGAATCACAAGGAGAGTTGGGTCTGAACTGGTGCCAAATCGCAACTGAGAAGTTGCTGGTTCGTAACATTTCGTCGGACGAGTTCCCCGTGTCGTCGGGCGAAGTATTTTCGGCTCAGTCTCGCCAGGAGAAAGTGGGAGTGAGAAGAGGGTGAAAAATGTGTGCTCCTGGTTTTTGTATAAAGGAGGGGATTCGCCCCTGCTTTGTCGGGCGAAACCCAGGCTAGCAAATTGCTTCGTTGGGCGAGCACCAGGCGAGCATGAGCAGTATTTTTATTTTCTTTTCTTTTTCTTTTTCATTTCTTTTCTTTTCTTTTTTGTTGTTTTGTTGTGATGTCTTGTGCCTTGTTGTTCATGCACCTTGAGTGGTTGACGTGTTGTATTTTGATGAGTATAACATGTGGATGTGTGATGTAATATGAGGACTTGTGATGCATAATGATGATATAATGCCATGATATTTTGATGGTTTTTTATGAATGATGATGCAACCTTGATGATCTTGTTGGTGATTATGACGTTTTGCATCATGCATTCATAGCATAACAGGACTTCGGTCCAGTGTTGTTGGTAGGACTTCGGTCCAATGTTGGCTTCAACCCAATCATATGGATTTAGGTGTTTATGTTGTGCTCCGGTTCTTGTGTAGAATCGATCCTATTGGTGGGTATCTTTGGAGGGTGATGACCCAATGTCCGTCAAACATGTTAATTTGGCACCACATGCATGAGCCTCTGTTGTTGCATTTCATGTTATGTGGCATTGCATCTATGTGAATGACTGTTATTATAGATGAGGTGATCTTAAAATGACGTGTGATGATGTTGTGACTTGAGCGATGCTTTGGTGATGAGTTGTTGATTTGATGACTTTATGAATGAAGATGTATATATGACACTATGATACAAAAGTGTGAGTATAATACTTGGTAAATAATGATGTATGGATTTCATGATGATTTTGCTTTTGTATGATGAATGCTATCTTAATATATTTATCTTTATATCTTGTATAATGAATTGTGATTACTCACCCTGCCTATTTGAATGTTGCCTCCACGTGGGTAACGTACATGTGATTAAGATTAGCTCTCTTGGTGTGTGAAGAATTAACATTGAAGTGTTTTGGTTATTTTCCGTTGATTAGATGGTCTTTCTCTGATATGTAACATCGGCTCGGGGCGTTTGAGTCGAACCATTGTGTTCTTTTTGTTGTTGACCTCATGATACTATGACTTTCTTGCTTTAAGACTTTTGAGTTATAATTTATGTTGAAATGTGATTTTCCACTGCGTAGTATTCGATTTAACTCATGTTGACAGAACCCGTGCTACGGAGTAAGACATTAATGTGATTTTATGAAGAAATGTGGCACCCTTGCGGTGGTATACTCTGACATAATTATATATATTTATCGTGAGTGTTCTTTGGGGTAGAAAGGTGTTACACGTGGTCTGTGCAATCTTGTTTGTTGATTATGTCATTTTCCTTAGCTTTAGTTTCTTCATGTTCCTTACCATTGTCTTATGGCTGAATCAATATTAATATTAATCTAAAGAAATTTTCTTTTTAGTCTTCATAACCGTCTTCATATTTCTATGTCTATTTTTATTTACCTTTTTGATTTCTAACAAAGGGGGAGAAAGTGATATATGATTTTGATACCTAATTTAAAGAATCTCATCCCAAATATAATGCAAATATGTTTATTTGTAACCATATGTTTGAGAATTGATCAGGAACTTCGTAAAAGTTCACTGTATGTTAGAACAGGTTATCAGAAGACTTTACCAGAAGTGACAAGACATATCAGAATCTACGATATATCAAAGTACATAATTTGTATTTGAGATATGATCAAGAAGCAAGTGATGTGCATCAGAAGTCAATAATCAATAACATTATATCAGAAGCATTTGTAGAAGATATCAGAAGATATAATCATCAAAAAACATATGCAAGAAAGAAAAATGCTAACTGGTAATATATGAATATCTGATGTTGACCACTAAAGTATCAAAAGAAAAGGATAATAAGAAGGGATATCCATAAGTTTCATGCTGATACCTATAACTTGTCAGAAGTTATTAACTTTCTGAAAGAATGCTCAAATTAATTTAAATGGTGTCTAAAATCCAATTGGTATCCAAATTTCAAATGGTATCTAAAATTCAATTGGTATCCAAATTTCAAATGGTATCTAGACTCCAGCATTAAAAGAATCTAAATCCTTCGGAGATCAAATCAAGTCATGATCATTAAAGAAAATATCTGATTTCTGAACCATCAAATGACATGAGGAAATGTGCACATGTTGGTGATCTGTGCTAAGATATTGAAGAGAACACAAAAGATGAGAAATGGAGGAGGCAAAGTCTTTAATAATTTCAATTATCTATAGTGTGTGTTTGTTTGTTTTTATGATGATGAAAACACAAAAGATGGAAAATAGAGGAGGCAAAACGATTGAGAAAAGAAGAATAGGAGAGGGTGTGTACAATATATGTATTAGTGCACTTTTTTAGGATTAGATACTTAAAAAGTGAATCAATACATTATATAATGAAATAAGAAAATTAAAACAATACACTTATGATTCTTGATTTTCTAATATATTAATTAATTATTTATAAAATAGTCACACAAAATTATATAATTATATGTTATATAATATATTATATATAAAAGTTAAATTGTAGGGTCGGGAAACTCGTGGAACGGAGGATCCTTCTCTGATCTCCGCCCAAAAATGTTATCGGAATAACTTTTTCTTTCATTCCCATTTTTATGGAGGAAAAAAAACCTCTGACTTCAAAATTTCAAACAAATAATCTCTACAAAAATATCTGTTAAAAGATACAAATTAACATCCCTACCTCCATACCCATAACCCATTTAAAAATATCCTAAACATTAAAATATTTTAATTTTTTGGTCGCTCATATTTGTCCATCCCTAATTAAGATGAACACTTCTAGCTCTGATATATTTTTTTTTTTTTTTGAGAAATTTGTATCTATAGTCTTATAGCTTACGATTTCTATTTTGATTTTGATTTTTACTTTTATATATGAGCATTTAGAATGGCAATTGTTATATATTTTTCTTTTAAAGTGATAGAGAGAAAATAGAAACTAAATAAATAGAATGTGTTTCTAGAACCATTAATATCATGTTTAGATATTCTTTTTAAATTTCATAAATAATTCATTTTTGAAATGCATTTAAAAAAGGTATGTATTATATTCAAAGACTAAGCAAAGTAAGGGTTATAACCAATTCAAACCTTGTTTTAAATTTTAATTGGACCATTTTTATGATTCTAATCCGTCTCTAAATCTATTCAAACTCAATAATCTATGAATTGATTTAAATCAGAAAGACAAATTAAATTGGATTGAAGCAAAATATTTGAACATTTATTTAATAATTTTGTTAAATAATTGTTTAAAATTAATTATAATATTTTAAAATATATATTTAAATAAATAGTATAAAACAAATGTACCTATTATAACATTTTTCTTATTATAATATTTAAAATATAACTCAATTATTTAATAGCAATAATTAAAAAAAATTATATTGATAAATTTTTTTTTTAAATTAACATTTGTGAACTTGACAAAAAATTAACATTAATAAAAAATTATTTAATATCACTATTTTAAATGTTAATTATTCACTCTTAGAATAAGTTGACCCATAAGAGACAATGGGATAGAAACTCCCCCCACCCTTGATGTAGGTCAAACAACATTTATACAGAAAGTTTATAACAATAAAATTAAGAGAAAAGAAACACCAATCAAACAATTCTACACAATTGATACATGCACTATATGATCAATTCAATACAATATGGTACAACAGTTTTTTATTTCTACTCTGAATTAGAATTCAAAACTTCAATGTAGAATAAATCTCACATTTGTAATTTTTAAGACACAACAAATTGAACAACAAAAAGAAAAGCCAAAGATACTAACAATATAATGTAATTTAAGCAGCCTGATCATCAGGGCCCAAATTCTTACTAACGGCAACAGCAATGTTGCACAATTCACGAAATGCTACACTTCTTTTAGACAGAATATCATCATCACCAGGAATTGAAGCATCACATGTATCAATTGCAGCCAATGCTGCTTGCAACCATAATTGAACATCATTTTTTGTGTTCGACAAAATTGCAGCGACACTATCCTCAAGTTGACCTTCTGCGTCCAATAATGTCTCCTTACAATCGGACAAACCTTGTTGAATTTCGGGTTCTAAATCCGGATCATCAATCATAATTTTGACATCAGTTAGTATTCCGGTCGCGTTTGACGCGGCCACTCTTAGTGATATCAGAGCTAGGTCTGTTAATGTCGCAGATTTGCTCAAAGGGTCCGAATTAAGGACTTGGATACATAAATCTTTGTTAGGGATAGTTTCACATACTTTGTTGATTAGGTCATTACCTTGTTGTGCAAAGGTAATTTGGTTGTGCAATAAAATGAAGTATATAGCAAATAGAGATAAGAGTTTTGTGACTTCCATTTTTTCTTCTATATGGATTTAGTTTGATTTTATGAAACTAATTAATTCATGTTTGTGTTTATAAACAAACACAAGGAAACATAATTAGATTGTTTGTAATGGGAGAGATGCGCTTGACCTCAAATTTTTTGGAGGGTTAAACCCATGTTTGTTGTTACTAAACTTAGAATGTTAATGAACACTTATCACTAATTGCTTTTCTAATTTTGGTTTAACTATCTTACATTTTGTGGTGCTTCTTCTTTTAAAACATGACTTTAAGTCTTTATAGTCACTTGTTTTCAACTATTAATAACAATGACTAAATTTGTGGTTCTCTTTATAATTTTAAAAAACAAATACATTCTTAAAACGAAATAATAACTTTTTAGAAGATTTTATCTGCTTATTACAATATTTTCTTAAAAACTATTTTTATAATTGTTTGTTTTTTAAAATGATTTTTATCATGGTAAATAAGCTTAAAATATTTTGTTCTTTTTTATTTAGAAAATTCTTTAAAAATAATATTTAGATGATATAATAATTGAACCATGTCATTTAACAACATTTGTTTTTTTTAAAAATTTATTTATTTATGTGTATACATAAATATTTCATATTTGAGATTTTGTTCAAATAAACATTTTTTAGGTTAAGAAACATGAAATTCATAATTAAAAAAAAAAGTAAATTTGCATTATATTATGTCTAGGATGAAATTTGTTATAGGTGTTATGTCTAGGTTTGTTTGGTGTATTTATTTATGAAAGTGAGACCTACTTGAAAATTGTCTCAGCATGAAATTGTGACGCAGACACGTGGAATTACTTTGAAGTTTTTAATGCGAGCGGTAACCGACACCTTTCACAAACCGTTCCACATCATCTTGCTCTCATTTTTGAAAGGGCTTGGACGATGCAAACTTTTCTGAAAGCCAATCGAGTGGTAGGCACTCCTTACGGAATACTCCCCGTCTTTTTCAAAATGCCAAAGCAGCTTGTCGGGTGGCAGCCCTGAGGAAATCGGAAAATTACAAATATGAGCAATAATATAAGTGGGAAAATTCTCACGAAGAATCTCGTAATTCCAGTCACCAGCCTCCGCATCAATTAAGGCTGCAACCTTGCAAATTGGCTGCAGACTGCAGTTGCTATATGTTAACATAAAACCTTTCACAGACGGTAACCACTGATCATTCCAAATGTTCACAGTCTCACCATTACCAATTCCCCACCTGCTACCACCAATAACAGTCTCCTTAGCACTCAGGATACTACGCCATGCATAGATAGGCTGGTGTCCCGGAGATGCCTCTTGAATAGAGCACCGAGGATAATACTTGCCTTTGAAAAACCTCTCGAACAAAGATCCATCACACTGCAGGAGACGTCAAAATTGTTTACCAAGGAGGCTGGTATTAAAGTCTTGAATACTCCTAAAGCCCATCCCTCTATCACTCTTCCTGTACGATAAACGATCCCAACTCAACCAATGGATTTCCTACAACCCTATTTGGCCCCCCACCAAAATTTGGCTAGAATAGCCTCAATCTCATAGCAACAAGAAACCCGAATGCGATAGAAACTTATGATGTAAGTTGGGATAGATTGAACCACTGCCTTAATAAGAACTTCCTTGCCAACCCTCGATAGAAAAAATTCCTTCCACTCCTTCAACTTCTTCCACACTCTTTCAATAACCAACTTAAAAACTTTTCTTTTATCTTCCGAAAATCACAGGTAAGCCAAGGTACTTTGAGTGGCAAATAACTCCTTTAAAAACCAACTTATCTCACACCCACTCATTCGTTTCCTCATCAATATTGGCACTGAAAGACACCCCCGCTTTGTCGAGGTTAACAACCTGACCCGAAGCCAATTGGTACCTGTTAAGAATGTGCAAGATACAATCCGCTGTTATACCTCAAATTTTGACCTCTAGATCTTCTCATCATTCTAGGAGCATCAACATTGTTTATCTAACCTTAATAGAGTTCAAGTTTGTCTTTGTCAAGATGTTGATGAATTAGGATTTTCATACAGTCAAAAATTATGGATTGATCAGTCAAGGTTTTGGATTTATCCTCCATCTAATAAGTCTCTATATCATCAAGGACATCACATTTGATTAAGTATGAGTTCAATGTGAGGTGGTCACCAAGAGAATTGAGACAGTGCAGAGCAAGAATCCTAATTAGGGTTTCTTGATTAAAAAGTCAACTGTAGTTTGAATTTTGATCTAAAAGGTATTCCAAAGTTTGAATCATGGTCCATGAGGATTATATGACCAGAATAAGTCTACTAAAAAAGTTTCAAGGCCCCAGGGAACCCAGAACACCAACAGTCGATTCAGGGGTTTTCCGATCGTTCAGTTCGTCTGACTGAAAAGTCAACTCATTGACCAACAGGGTTTTGACACAAAATTGAAGCCAATTATGTCCCTAACACCATTTAATATATAATCATGGATTTTGGTGACCAATTGATCAAGAATTGAGAAGTAATCAAAAAGTCAGGAAATTAGGGTTTTGAAAAGTGTTAGGCCATAACTTCTTAACCACACATCCAAATGGAGTGGTTCAAAACTTGTTGGAAAGGTCTTAATGAGTTATTCAAAATTTATATGCATACTAATGAGCATAAAATGCATGGATTTTGAGTTATGAGCAAAAATAAGGCAAGAGGGGAAAAATACACTTAGAAATTTCAAGATTTCTTGACTTGTAAGTCAAGTTTTCAACATTTTCACAAGGGTTTTTGACCTAGTTTCAAGTGGAATGGGTTCCTACATTAAACATCAATGTTGTAGTACCTAATGGGGGATTTCTAAAAAGTATAAGTGAGTTCCATAACTATTCATGGTTAGAGAGAACCAAGGTCCACAAATTGGCAAAAACTCACTTGTGCAAAGCTAGTTCAACATGGTTGTTTCAACTCCAAAGCTCCTCAAATCAACTCTAGTCAAGGATTAAGCTTCATTTATGATGTTTACATTGTTTGTTAACATGTTTAGCATTAACTCCCATGAAATTGACTTGAGAAATGGAAAAAAAAAATCATTGTTTAATGCAAGTTGCAAAAGTGAATAGTGTGGAAAGAGAAAAATGGTGGCTACCATCGTCAAACCACCAACTTGGCTGCAACCAGTCACCTCCTATCCCCTCAAGCATGATGCAAATGACCTATAGGGTATGGAGAAGCTCTTGTTAGGGTGAATCAAGGTTAGAAATGGAGATTGCTTTGAAAAACTCCGAGATTTTTATGATGGAAGGCTAAACTTGGCATTTACTTCACTTCTGCCAATACCTCTTGATCCAAGGCCTTGCCTATAAATTGAATATCATTCTTACATCCAAGATACACCAGTTAAATGCTTGATCTGAAACTCCCTCCTTCCTACAGTTTCAATGTTCATAATCAATCCACACTTTTGTAAAAAGGATCAAAGGAGTTGTCTTTAAAAATCATTGGATTTTGGAGGTTTTTCTTCACTTGCAAGCCATTCTGCCCATCAACTTGCTTGATCTTGATTTGGAGCATCTTCTCATCATCCTAGGAGAATTTTTATACCTTGGAGGAGCATTCAAAGTCTCTGTTTTTCTTATTGTGCAAGCTTGCTTCAAGAGGTAAGCCTAAAACACAAAAAACATGAAATTTTCACTTGCATTTCACATTCCCCCATGACTTTTAGCTATGATTTGGTGTTGTATATTATTTGAACATGTCTTATGTATGTTATGTGTCATGCATGAACCACTGCTTGCATCAAAACATGTAGTTTTTGAACTGTCAAATTCTGGTCACAAGCTAGGTCACAAACTAGGCCCCAAACTAGGCCTAACCTAGTCACTTTTTGCATTTTGCATGCAATCTGCCAAACCATGTGTGCATATCTTGATTTATTTTGTGCTAACCTCTTAATATGATGTATATGTGATGTTTGTACACTTGTTTTACCAAGCACACCACTACCCATGACTGTTCACATGTTCATGCTTTTGATTGTCACCAAACTTGTCCTAAACTTGATGCTATTGAATTTTCTTGTGAGTGTATAGTATGGAAAAACAAATGGCACCATTGAATTCCTTATTCAAAAATACACAATTTTCACTTTTGTTTCACTTCATTTGGTTAAGAATTGACTGAGTTCCAATCCTTCACGCAAATGACCCTTATGTTGTGACCTAGCCTTGCCCTAGTTTTTGCCCTCTTGGTACACCAACTTGCAATGATCATAACTTGCTCAATTTTTGTGATATTTATACCATTCTTTTTGAAAACTACTCCTTAAAATTTCTATTTTCATTGAGTGAATAAATAATTCAAGGATTGTTATCCTAGAAAGACTTTGATCCACTTGAAAAACATGTGTTTTCAGGGTTTTTTTTACCTTGATGCTCTTGAACATTTTCAACTTGTTACTTGATTTTTCTTGTGAGATTGATCTTGTATGATTTATATATGTTTGTTAAAAATTTTAAATTCTCAAAGATGTTTGATTCATTTCCTTACCATGTTCATACTTGCTTTTTGTGAATGCATACATGTGAAAATGGCCTGTTGAACTTCATTTGTGAACATTGCCATGATTCTTGATGTTGTAACCTCTTGAATATGCCCATTACAACTCATTTTACTTATTTATGTGTCTTTTTAGAACCATAACACGCTTAGGGTTTATTTCTTGCCTTTATGAATGCTTGAATATGCATGGTATGCTTTGAATTTCATTTGTGAACTTTGACATGATTCTTGATGTTGTAACCTCTTGAATATGCTTATCATGCTTCACCCTACTTGTTTATGTGTATTGTTATAAAAATGACATGCTAGAGTTTGATTTTCAATTTGGTTGTTACTATAAAACTTGTATGTTTTTCCCCCATGAAGTTATGAATTTACACTTGAACTGTTGTAACATCTCTTGTGTTTTGCTTGATTGGTTGTCTTCAATACATGTTTAGTTGGTCCTATGTTGTTGCATTTGATCTCATTTGGTCCTTATAACATGCTTGC